AATGGAAATCATTACTTGCATCTGAAGAAGTGAGGTTCTTACCCACGAAAGCTTCTGCTCCCAATACTTCTGTTAGTCTTAAAGGTGCCACAGGACCCTCTGCTCCTAACTTCTAGGTTCTTGACTTTGCAATGTTAACGTTCTTTTAATGTAGGTTTTTGTATGTTTTATACAGAGCATGCCAATACCATTCAACTATAATACAGGAATCAATGTATTTCTGAGGGTACAGGGTTTAGCATCAATGAATATGACTTTTTACAGTCAAAATTCTATGCCTCACTTCAAAGTGGTATAATCCAAACCTCCTTCGCCCCATGCCGGGTGTCCTATTGTTCAGGACAGCAATTATCTGTTAATAGCAATACCATTTTAAAATATTTCTTTGGAACTGTATTTTTCTGTTCACAATCTGTAGCTTCTCTCTGGGTTTCCTTATATACAGAGAGAGACTTACTTTTCACAACATAACATTCTTTTTCACCTTTAGGGAGAAAAATATATACAGGCACCCTTTGAATTTGACAGTGGGAGACCAGGTCCAGGATCGCAGTATCCACAGGACTTTAGTATCTGGGCAGGTAAAGTAATGAGGCTTCTAGACAGCCCAGTCATCCAATCTGCAAGCACCTTGTTAATCACCGGGCTAGGGGCACTTCTGCCCCTTCTTCTGGTCTCACTAAGTCACACCCTCGGGAGATCAGCTTCTTGCCTTCCCATGTCCTGGGGTGAAAACCTGTGGTTCGCCCACTTAGATTGGAACCCAAGCTATAGTATCCTGTGTCTCAACTCAACACACCCAACTGGACTTGGCACCCTAAAGTCTTCCCTTCAGAAGCGGTGGCCAGTGGTTAATACAGAGACCTTTGGCTTTCTTAAAACCAAGTAAAGTTTAATCTTACCAAAAAGGAACACAGCAGAGCATAAGACAAAGGATTTTAAAATAAAAGGCCTATATGCACGTGTATCTTACCTAGAGGCTTGCCATCTCTTGGCAGACACACTAGGAAGGTCCATCTTTGCTCCAGACCCCTGGCCTCTGGGGTCTTTGTCTATGAGACCTACTTCTCATCTGCAGCTCCCAACAACGCCCTCACCCTTCGTTAAGAATGTTACGTTTGTCTTCCCCAGAAGCTCTTAGTCTTGCTTCTCGGGCTTAGGGTGCTCCTGTATTGACCAGCTGTGATCCTACCCCTTGATACCCTGTTGAGCTCAACAGGGTTTGGAGACGGGACTTCAAAGTGGATGGGTCTAGTATTGCTCCTCAAGTGGGTAAAAATGAGTGGCAGTATGAAGCTAAATCTGAATTAATAGTAATACAGTACCCCCCCTTACAACAGTAAAACCAGACAAAGAAAATTCTTTACTTGTTACACAGTAGCTCCAAATCCATCACACACTTCCTGTTGGCTGGGCTAAGCCATTACAGCGGCATCTCTAGTGAACAGGTTTCCTACCACCCTCGCAAATAAGCCTGAGAACGTCAGCCATTCAAGGTAAGCAGCAGGCTCTTCCGTAACAAAAAATAAATTGCGACTCCACAACGATGTAAGTGGGAAGAAAATGCCAGGGCACCACATGGATCAAATCAGGGCCACATGGGACAAGGGCACTATCAGCTATTTTCTAGACAAAGTGCATTTATCTGGATGATATAGAACAGCTAGAGGCCTAATTCCCTTAGTCGGTTAAGGACTAATATCAAAACCAAAGATCAAAGTAGAACATACTAACGACCAGACCTCCTAACTATATGTTTATTTCAATTCAATTAATCAAAGGGCATTGGACTTTTCATTCTGGGGCTGCAATTGGAATCTTAACGGAGAATCAAGGAAATGAGCTTTGGTGGTCTCCTTCTGTTCTTTGGTGGATACCCAGTTCATGTGGATTAATTCACTAGAGCATTCAGCACTCACAGGGCACTGAGCATGGTAGCTCTCACAGAAGTTCCCCGCACGATGCACTTGTCCAGTGCAGATATCTTCTTTGTTCCACCACACCATCTCTCGAATGTTGTGCAAGAACTTTGCTCTTGTACAGTTGCTACTGTCTGGACCAAGCTTTTGTATCACTCTGCCTCTTCAACTTTCTATGTCATTTCAATACATCTTTCTTGTTTTTAACTCTTAATTTTTTTCGCTGTGCTATTAACACTACTGTACTATTTATTGCAACCCTACAACATTTGGGATATAGTTTGCATGAAAGATAACTTACAAAATAAAGTTGCGTTGTGCTGTATGGTATTTCTGCCCTGTGAAAAAGCAGATACCTTTAATTTCCACTAGAGTAAATCCCTTAATCTGAGCAAACCCAAGTATCGAGCTGGAATCTAAAATGTAATAAACAAGATACAAATATTTTCACCTTCTTGGCTTTGACTAATAAGATGCTGTCCCAGGTGTGCTCTTCAAATCCCTGTAATTCAGTACTGCAGAGGAACTTTAGTGTGGATAAAATATCTAGATCAACAAGTCTATCAATTCAACAGACAAGCTTTGCAGACCATGCTTTTCCCCCACATAACAGGTGAGACACTTACCACCTCAGAGCAATTTTGATTGGTGTCGTAAGGCATGATGTGAAAAGGTCAGCCGGCAGGTCAGGGATCATAGGTAGCAATTCATTGGCTTCACATGCTGCCAGCTGAATGCAGTTCTTCATTGATGGGGGCAAAGGCATCTGAGCAAGTGGATGATTAGGGTTAATTGCAGCAACCTTGATGATAGATCAAAAGAAAAAGGCATCAGTCAGAAGATTTAACCATCCAGAAAAATAAATCTGAAAACAACCTGCTAAGAATGACCAAGGCTGAATGCATCACCATATTCAGCAATGATTAAAGTAGTAATGGCCCTGCTAGAGCTATGTCAGGAGTGAACAGTTCAAGTGTACATTTGCAGTCTGTGTCATTTGTAGTATTGCAATATTTAGTAATACAACCAGCAACTTGGGACACAGAAATTAAACTGCCGATCACCACGTCACAGGATTCTGACTCCACAAGATCCTGCCACCTTTGAATCAAGCATTGTAGAAATAAGTCTTGTGAACTATTGTGCTACCTGAGAAAAAAGTTGAACAAAAAATATCTTTTTTGCAGCCCACTCTCAGTAACTACAAATTGGGGAAATAGCTTAGACCTGAACGGCGGAAAGGCGACTGACTGCTTTAGATGGAGCTCAGAGTCATGAGGGCTGAGTATTTACTGCTACAGTCCCCAGTACTCCCCACACTGCTTCCATGAGCACTCTTACTTCTGAATCGAGGCCACGCTGAAGGGAGGAGGAGAGTATTGCCGAAGGAAAGGAGAAATGCAAAAGAGAATCACCTAAATTAAAAGAGGAAATGTCTGCTCTCTTATGGGGTGAATTAGAGACAGGGGAGTGTGTGGTGTCAGGTCAGCAAAGATACCAGCAGGTGCAGCTTGCTAGTCGATATTAGAATAAGGGCAGGGGACAAACAGGAGGAGGACAGGCAGCTGTCCCTCCCCAGGATTGACCAGAAATACCCATGAATTGCAACTTCTGTCCAGAGCAGTGAACATCAGTCACCAGAACAATTGTATTACAGCAAGTCTTTTCTGCATCAACCAGATGAGCTAAAACAACGTCAGCAATACCAGACTGCTCTAAACAAGAAATTAGTTCCTAGGTCTACAGTGACAACCTTGCTAAAACTTATGATTGGTTTGGGAACAATCCACCATCAAATCTGAGTCACAAAGAGAGATTGGTAGAGTTAGCAGATGTGTCAGTGCTGCCTTCACACTAGCCGTGCACTGGCGGAATACATTAAGCTAACAGCATTCCTGCAGCAGTAGCCAGGGAATAGGGTTTGCATACGTACTATTCAATTCCTTCACTTCAGGTCCTTTGTGGGAATCAATTTTTAAAGAAATGAAGGGTAAGCAGCATAGTAGGATGCCATATGAGCATGTGCAGGGTTTTGGTAAAAGTACGACAAAGCCTGGCATGAGGGTGTTTATAAGGTCTGGTCTACACTGATGGGCTGCGTGCCGAAGGTTGCCGTCTCCTGGTCTATACTGAAGCGCTGCAGTGGCAGAGCTGCAGTGTTTCAAGTATAGACAATCTAGCTGTATCATTTTACCTTCAATTTGTCTGTCCAGACATCATCTTGTAAAATGGAAAATACTGTGCACCAGTAATTCCAGGTGTGTTTTTAGAATTACAATGGCACTAGCAATTAAGGGTGTGCGCTATGGGAGATTTTTCAGAGAACTGATTATATGGAAAGCGTAGGTATTCCTTCCAGTGTCTTTTTTAAAAAGGTAGAGACACAAACACTAGCTTGTGTGTGTCTACAACACCCTTTCAAGCATCCAAAATTCTGGACCCAAATGTGTGTGAGGCTTCTTGAGTGAACAGGACTGGAAAATTGCCCTATCAATGAGGCTACAATTATGTCACGGAGGTCACAGAATCTGTGACTTCCAGAGACCTCCATGACATTTTCTGCCCTGGGCCTGGAGCGGTCAGCAGACAGTGAGCCCCCAAGCAGCTCCTAACCTCCAGGCAGCAGGGGGACTCATAGACTCATAGACTTTAAGGTCAGAAGGGACCATTATGATCATCTGGTCTGACCCCCTGCATGCTGCAGGCCATAAAACCGTCCCTACCCCTTCCCTGGACTCTGCTGCTGAAGTCCCCAATCCTGTTACTAGTGACTCCACAACTTCCATCCCCTGCAGGCAGTGGGGGGATATTTGTAGTAAAAATCACAGACAGGTCACGGGCTTCTGTGAATTTTTGTTTATTGTCCATGACCTGTCTCTGATTTTTACTAAAAATATCTGAGACAAAATCTGAGCCTTACCTATAAACAACTTGAACTACAAACAAAAATGAAGTAGGGCCCTTCTAAAAGTGAAAATTTGCTATCCTAATGACCAAAGATAAATGGCTTTTGAAGGATTTCCCTTTTTTCACACTGAGTTAGGCAATACACTAGCCCTTTGCAATATTTATATACCAAAGTTTCTAATCTTGTTTAAATCAACAAGTGTAAATCAGTTTGGTGGTCTCAGCAGAGCCATTTGTGAAGTACATCCATGTTACACACCCACTACACAGTTCAGTACAACTTTCCACCTCTGCTGCAGAGAAGTACAGAAAAGATGCATTAGGAAAGTTGTGGAGAGGTTTCAGATTTTTTGTTTCTTTCTTCAATCTCAGGAGCTGCTGCATCATTCATACAGGTTTCTTGCCTTTATCCCAAATGGCTGCCACCTCCCACTGTTCTCAATCCAGATAGGCTGCCCTCAGCTAAAATGGATGTCATCTCCCTACATCAGTGGTCCCCAACCTTTTTCATCTGGCAGGCGCCAGACAACGAGCCACGGAAGACCATGGTGGCGGACGAGCATCAGCCGAAATGCCGCCGACAAGCAGCAGCATCCAGAGGCATTGCTGCCAAAATGCCGCAGCGGCGATGCCTCTGGATGACGCTGCTTGTAGGCGGCATTTTGCAGATGCTCGTCCGCCGGGCAGTACACGGGCGCACTTAGACGCCCCGGCGGGTGCCATGGCGCCCGCGGGCACCGTGTCGGGGAACCCTGCCCTACATCTTAGATGGAGCTGAACCTATCCTCAAACCAATCCCAGGACCTCTGATCATATTTACTGCACTTATCTAATAACCTAAACTTTATCTTTTAAATATCTCATGTTATAACTAATTTTTAAAAACAGATACTTTAAATAACTACAGGAAGGAATTTGGGGGTAGCGGAGAGGATGGAGGAGGTTTGCCATTTATAGATTTGTAAATACAGAGCGTCCAAACAGCTTTAGCGATGATAATTAATGCATTAAGGAAGGATGTACACATCCTCAGTACATGGGCTCTTTAGGGGAACATGTTTAAGTGAATTTTATACTGGCTGAAATGTGGTGAATACTGAAATCCTCTGGCCATGGAGTATGCATGGCATGGGTAATAGCAGGGCAAGCTTGTCTCATGTCACTCCGCATCAATGCCCCTCAATTCTGATCTGGAGAGTAGCTCATCCTCTTTGGTCTGTTTAATCCTTGTGTTCTCCACAGAGGTGCCCAATAAGGGGATCTAATCATGAGAAGTAGAACATGAACTCTTGGCCATTAAAATCTGGACCACAAACAACAATCAAGCCAATACAGAGTATCAACTTTTGGTAACTGACATCCTGGTCAGATTTAAAGCAATGTCCTAGAGGTGAAAGCTTTGGAATTCCCTGGGCTATCCAGTCCCTCAGTACAATCATTCCTACTGCGAACCAACCATGAAGAAAAAGATGGGCTTCAGCTGACTAGTAGGAGCCTATCTTAAAAACACAGACACACTCTGCAAACTTGTCTTTATGGCCAAGGATACGATTTAGTCATGGAGGATTCCATCACTTTACTGCGGGACTGTGCCCCCTCCCAGTCCCCCGTCCCCCCGCCCGTGGCTGCGGCTCCCCCACCCCCAGCCGCCCGTGGTGGTGGGGCTTGGGCTTTCAGTCCCCCCCTCATGGGGCTCCAGCTGTCATTAGTCCCCCCTTCTTCCCCCCCCAGCTACTTTTAGAGTCACAGACAGGTCAGGGCTCCCATGAATTTTTGTTTATTGCCCACGACCTGTCCCTGACTTTTACTAAAAATAACCATGACAAAACATTAACCTTAATTATGGCCTGCAAATAACTGATCCTAGACCTGCTTAGAAAGATGCTGGTACTTTGTTATAGTACAAGGAATTTACCCCTAACACCCTGAGAATAATGGCTCACACATTTCTTTAATTTCTGAGCTGTCACCATCTTCCCTCATACGCCACCTCCCCAGTACACATACTAAGCTGGTGAGAACAGACAATCTCCCAGCAAAATTATGCATGTTCCGATCACAAGCTTCAGTCAACAAAAAACAACTGTCTTTACGGAGAATGGGGATGACATAATAGGTACAAATATCAGAGGGGTAGCCGTGTTAGTCTGGATCTGTAAAAGCAGCAAAGAGTCCTGTGGCACCTTATAGACTAACAGACGTAGTGGAGCATGAGCTTTCGTGGGTGAATGCCCACTTCTTCGGATGCATGTAGATGAAGTGGGCATTCACCCACGAAAGCTCATGCTCCTATATGTCTGTTAGTCTATAAGGTGCCACAGGACTCTGCTGATAACAGGTACAAAGAACAATGGAAAATCCATGGTATATCAAGTCAATAATAATGCTACCTTATAGAGATTTTAGCCATCAGCTAAACTGAAATCCCTAGATACTTCTGTGAAATGGCAAATCAGTTGTTTTGGATACAAATTATAGCTGCCCAAGTTAACCTGTATTCAGTTTTGCCACTTGTGAATGGTGCACTTGCCAGAAGGAAAAAGGAACAGATTTATAAGTCTCCCTACTTGTAATTAACACAAAGGGAGACAATAAGTCTCTTTTAAACCTGTGTTATTCAAAACTTTTATGCACATAAATCAGAGGCAGGCAAATGCAAGGGAAACAGTTCTTTATGAATTAATAGGCATGTTCAAGTTAAATTAACGGAAGGCCTTTGCCTTAACATGGAGGCTGGAGGTTGCAGTTTTTAGTTATTTCAAATGCTGGCCAGACCTTCTGGTTTCACAGAATTTCTACAATTGTCAGAATCCTCATCCCTGCAGAAGACATTAATGCAGCTACAAAAAAGAAGTAATTGCTTCCAGCAGATGGTGGATTAGGAAAATTCCCCAT